GTTGACACATGATGACATGCATGATACTGATGCGAGTGATTTAGGTGATGAACTGAAAGCCCTTTCAAGATACATTTCAGCAGGATCAACTCCAAAGGCTGTTCTGGAATATATGTGCACAAATAAGATGACCACCCTCTTTCCAAATGCTTTTGTTGCTCTGCACATACTTCTAACACTTCCTGTAACAGTTGCCAGTGGAGAATACAGCTTCTCCAAGCTGAAGTTAATAAAAACACATCTGCGCTCCACAATGACACAGGAGAGGCTGGTCGGCCTTGCAGCCATTTCACTAGAGCATGAGTTGGCCCAGACTGTGGATCTTCGGTAGGAAGCAGTTCAAATCTTTGCAACCAAGAAGTCACAGAAAGCACCACTTTGATTATTCAAACAGCTAAAAATGTCAGTGTTTACTATGCAGACAAGAAAAGTTACATTTGCTGTTCAGGCATTTGAATGTTAAGTGTTACTTAAAATTTTTGAACAAGACATTTTAAGTTGTTAGTTCTCCTTTATTGGGGTAGGTAGCAGAGCAGTACCATGAGAGGAGTAGACCAGGAAGAAGGCAGAATTGAGACCTTTCAAAGTTTTGGCCCAAACAAGGGAGAATGGCGGCGTCATTTGAGCTCCCCGCCTCAGGTGCCAAAATGTTGTGGGCCGGCCCTTTGCTGACTTCCCTTTCAGGATGTTGTTGGAGGGAAACCCTTCTCCCTATTCCTTCATTGGATGGCAATCTCACAGAAATACTGTCCTGTCAGATACAAAGTATCTCCCATCTGCAACAAACAGAACACCCTAGCCTTTTACTAGTTACAGTGCAATTATACTATAGCCCTGGGGTCTAAAACACACAGCCCGCGGGCCGCATGCAGGCTGCGGAGTTATTTTCTGCAGGCTGCCATAGGCGCCTACTCCACCGGCAGCCAAGCTACCCTCACCCCCTACTCCTCTCCCCCCCTCCAAGCGCACCACACCCCCACTACTCCGCCTACCTCCCAGCGCTTCCTGCCACCAAACAGCTGTTTGGCAGCACTTAGGACTTTCCAGGAGGGAGGGGGAGGAGTGGGGATGCAGCCCGCTCAGGGGAGAAGGCGGAGAAGAGACCGGGCCAGAGTGGGGATTTGGGGAAGGGGTTGGAATAGGGGCAGAGAGGGGGCGGAGTTGGGGCGGGGACTTTGGGGAAAGGGTTGGAATTGGGGTAGGGCCTCATGGACTAGACAAGCAATCTGAGGTATGAAGTTCAGCATGTATTATTCTTTGCTGTGAGTATTTGGGAAGAATGTTTGTTAAAAGTGGCAACATATTTTGTATGAATAGTTACTTTAAAAAGTTCCTTCCGTTACAGCTATGTTGATAGACTGGTTTTGTGTAGATCATCATCAGTGTTACTGATCACATAAGCAATAGTTACAGGTGTTGCAGTTCAAATACAAGACAGCACAAAGCTTTAAGCAAGCAAGCAGGCTGGTCTGCCAATGGGCTGCCCCTGTCAGCTTTCCACCCTCTCCTTTATTCTTTCTCTCCCCCCGCGCATTACATTCTCCAACAGATAAAAAGAATACACTGGCTTTGTTTAACATTCTTATTTACCAATTTCTATCTACCGCATTCCTTGCTCTCGGGCCTTGAGCCCAGTCCTGGGAGGCTTCCCACGGTTCATGTCATCTGGGCAAGATTCCAAGGTTCATGCCCTTGAGAGGAGCCGTGTGTGCACTGCTCCTACACTACACTCCGGGTGTGCCCTGAATGTTGCCAAGTGCATGAACCTTGTATGAATGCTACATACAGGTGTTTATATTTTATTAAAACCCCTCTTTGCATTACAGTTTTAAAAAAGTTAATACATTGACTTTTAATAGCATACTATATTACTATTCATTTTTTTTCATTTTTGACTATACTTTTGTTTCGTTGTATGAAAAAGTTTCAGTGATGCGGCCCTCGGATTTGTGTACTAGTCCTCATGTGGCCCTCGTGGTGATTTGAGTTTGAGATCCTTGCTATAGCCCATTAGCCTATAACTGTCATAAAAGGATTCAATAATGCAATATACACCCATGACTTGTATACTCCATGGAACTAGTGCATACAGTTTGTATCAAGTTAATGGAGAATTTTTCTTTAAGTTTGTTTGGGTCCATCAGTGTTTGAAACCCCATAAACTGTAAGCAAAAGCAAAATGGGATTTAAGCACATGCTGAAGGGCTTTGCTGAATCAGGGTCTGAAAAAAGCTACTAGGGACAACAGTAGCTGGAGTCTTGAATTTGTTCAGTAATCATTCCAAGATTACTTTCTACTGGAAATGGGATGGTCACAGGATAGTCCCATAATATATTTTACAGTCTGTGTCATCAAACATCCCCTCCAACAATGATCCACCTTGTTAGGGAATAACAACACTACCGTGTTTGAAACAGCACTATGTTAATGTACATGAGGGAACTTCTAGTGCACTACCAGCAGGGTCTACATGGGTCAGTTTGTGTGCAACACATTGGTGCACTTTAAAAATCACACCCCTCTAGTGTGCATGGCTGCACCATGTGGACAAGCTCTAATAGAAATGACATACTTATAAGATGAGAGATAACTTAGATTGTAAGCTCTTTGGGGGCACGGACCCCTTTTTGTTCTGTCTGTACAGTGCCTAGTGCAGTGGGGTACCTGGTCCATGACTAGGGCTCTTAGGCACTATGGAAATACAAATAAATAATAATAAAAGTGTGACAGAGTATACTACAACATTATACAAGTATATTTATCCTTACCTAATTGGTTACTAGTTACCACTCTTCATTTGCTGTAGAGGACACAGAATAGCAGTGACCAGTATAATGTGCTGCTTATACAGATAACATGTGAAGATTCATACAGTGCCTTAGTGTCAGGATGGTTTGCCTGTAATGACGGAAGGTTTTTAACCCCCTTTTGTCCTGGGGAAACCATGAAGCAGAAAGTTTAGCACAAAGGAAATTCTGGATGTTTACATTTAGCTCAGTTCAATGAGAGGAAAACGCTGGCCTACAAACAATTGCACATGCGAGTCTACACCTGCTGTGTTCATTCTAATTTCCCAGTGACCCAAACTGAAAACAACAATAGACTCACTGTGCCGGAAGAAAGTAAGTTGTGATAGTATTGGTGATCCCATAAGAAGGGAGCGGGACCTCTTCCATGCTGAAAACACAGGCTGTAACAGCAGTTTAGACACTCTTCACTTCCCCTTTTCATAGAGGGACAGCAGCTGATTACGGCCAGCCACTGAGGGAATTATCTCCAGTTTGCAATAATTGCAGTTTAGCTCCTAATTAATATAGATTAAAATCTGACAAAGGCACCTAAAAATGGCTGATGAAGAGTTTTCATGAAGATCCAGATTCACTTCTCAGCCCGAACAAAGACTATTGAACCTAAACTAAATGATGTAGAAGTCTTTTTTAAAAAGTCAGCCTCGGCAACCACTTCACACAAACAGCACTGTCTATCAAGCCAGTAACTGGGATTGCCAAGTGGCAGCCTACCTTTGGAATGGGTCTGCCAGCTCAGGGAAAGTGGCTTGATACAGGGTCTCCAAGGTTAGAAATGACATTAACCCCCAGATATTTAAAAAATGAGATATAGAGGTACAGACCATTATTTCTTTGATCAAAGTGTACAAGCGTTTTAAAAGACAAACAAACCTAAACCTTTAGAAATAGTGCTTTTTACAGAGAGGAGGAACCTTAGCAAGGCTTGGGTAACACAGTTCTAAGAAAACACGCCCTGTTCACACTGGACAGGCAAACCATGTCAGAGCCCTGCTAGCAACACCCATACTTACACAAGGAAACTGCAGCAGTACATGTGAGAGTCAGCAGCAAACATGGGCTTTAGGTCACAACATATTTTGAGATTGGGGGGGTTTCTACACACAAATTTGCACCAGACCAGTCCAAACCTTTGTGCAGACACTCATTTCAGTTGACAAGCGGTTTATTTTGGTTTGTTTCTGTTCCTAACTGACCTATACTAAACTGAAACACTGGCTTACTCCACCAGAAGAGCCTCCACACAGACTTGTGCAGTGGCCCTTACAGCCCTACACACATACTGTCAGCCACTTCACCGCCCATTCTGGTTTGCCCCCGAGCTGCTTCCAGAACTGAGCTGTGCTGCAAGTCCTGCGAATCAGCTCACAAGGCCACTCACGCTATACTGGCCCAGCTGCCCCCGTCACGATGAACGGGTCACAGGGCCAAACCTGAGCCGCACTGTGGCACCCATGTGCACCGGGTCTCAAGCCACTCACTCTACTTTGACTCCCCCCATCAGGACGGAGGAGCCAGGGGTCCCTACTTGAGTGGACAGTGGGGTGGCCACCATGGGGCCCCCTACAGTAGCGGCTCAGCGACAGCCTCAAGCCCCCCTACAAGCACGGGGAGCTGCGGGGCGCGCAGTCCAGGGGAGCCGACCCGGGGGCGGGGGGGGATTGCTGAGCGTTAACCAGTGTAGAGCGGGACCGGTGTGAGCGCCACGTAAAACATCCCGGGGGACGCCCCCAGCCTTCGGCGGCCATTCAACTAAACTAGGTTGAACTAAACTCGGTTTCAAAATGAAGTTAAACCGGCGCAACGCCGCGTGTAGACAAGCCCCCTCAGGCTCGGAGCGTGGCAGCCACCAGAGTGGAGTCGAGCGTAGGAATGTGGGCGGGGCGGTTACACGCTATAGCGTCACCGCGGCGGTTACTGATTTGCGGAGACGTGCCACGCTGCACGGGCCTGGCTCCCAGGAGCGAATGGGACACAGCGCCCTGCTCCCGACGGTAATGACGTCACATAGGGAGGGGGCGGGGGCTGCACTTACAGACACGCCCCTTCCCTCAGCATCACTGGGCCCAAGCACGAGCCTGGCCTCCTCTCACCCTCCATGAGAGGCGCATGCGCCCCGCCCCGCCCCTCACCTCACCTTACCTTACCCCACCCCACCCCAGACTCGGAGTTCGACCAGAAGCGAAGGCGACGGGACTACGTTACCCAAGAAGCTAAGAGGCATGACGTCACCGCGCGCCGCCCGTGCCTTGCCCCGGAAGGGTTTAGCGCCGCCATGACCCCCCTACCGTCCTTCCCCCTTCCTTTCTGGAATAAGCAGCGGAGGAGGTAGGAGCAAGGTGACGCTACAGGAGCCGGGTCCATCCGCCCCCATCGGGGGCGACCCAGCCCGGCCGCCCCGAGCCTTCCCTCGGCTCTTCCCTGCGCCCTTGGCGGGAGGGGTTTGAACGGGTCGCGAGGTTTCGGGGGGGGACCGGGCAGGGGCCCGAGGTCCGAATCGCAGCCGGCTCTTGGGGCCTCCTCGCCTCGCGCCCGGTTGTCGGCCCGGCCTCCCAGGGCGGGAAGGGCCAGCGCGGCGCTGCGGGGGGCGGCGGCGGCGGTTGGGTTCGGCCGGGCCGCGCGGCGCGCGCAGAGTCAGCGGTTTGTCGCGAGCCGGGTCCGTTCTCCCCGCAGAGCGCCATGGGCCGCGTGATCAGGGGCCAGCGGAAGGGCGCCGGGTCTGTGTTCCGAGCCCACGTGAAGCACCGGAAGGGCCCCGCTAAGCTGAGGGCGATCGACTTCGCCGAGAGGCACGGCTACATCAAGGGCATCGTAAAGGTGGGTCGGGGGCTAGGGGCCCCGCCGGGGGGCGTCGGGCTCAGGCCGCGGGTGGGAGCCGGCGCGGGGGTAGCACGTGTCATCCCCACGGCCATGGCGGGACCGGACTCGGAGAAGGGCAGTGAATTGCTCGAGGCAGGGGTGGATCGATTTAAACTCTGTTTTAATCGCGATTCAGGTCAGCCAGCTGCAACCTATTGCAATTACTTCAATCATGTTTTGTATTTGTTCTCATGGGTTGATATACCCGTTAAAACATGATTTGCAACTACCCGTAACCTTTACCTTAAATATGATTTCCATGGCAGTTAAGGCCAGACCTTCCTAGGAGCTCTTGTCCTATCATTAGCTAGGTAGCTGCTTTTTCCCTGGCTCTGAAAATCTAGCTTCATAAATTTTTAAGAACACAATTGTTTCATTCACTCTTGTTTTTTGATAAATTAGAGGCGGGAAATAAAGCTTTCATCCTGTCTCAGTTTCCAGTCTGAACTTTGAAATAGTGGAAAATGGAAAAAAATATTCTCCATCTGCTAACTGAACAAACCAAAAGCAATTAAGGGAGAAACTTTAATGCACGACAAAGTACTTGCAGGTGGATATATGTAAATACCAGAATTCCCTCCATTGTAAGGAATGAAAATATAGATATTTAATGTGGTACCTCATGTTGACCTACTTATAAAACCTAAGTTGATATCAAAGTTAAAGATTAATTTTCCCTGATTCTGTATAATTAAAGCAGTGCTCTTTATTTGCAAAATTTGAGGGTTCATCAATGCAACATATACGCATTTTTAAAATCTACACTGGCCCTGTGTCTCCCAGGAGGATAGTGCCAGAGCTGGAAGTAGAACCCACATCTAAGGGATAGCTAAGGGAATATCTACAGTTACTCTTCTGTAGTGGCACAGGTATAGTGCTTCATCATAGACACTACAATGATGGAAGGATTCAAGGGGACAGGTAGCTGGATGAAAGAATACTTCCATTGACCTAGTGCAGCCTATACAAGGAGTTAGGTTGGTTTAATGACATTGCTCCTGGGGTATGGATTTTTTCACACCCCTGAGTGATGTAGCTGAGTCAATCTAATCTAGTCTAGACTAGCACTAGACCAAACATTAGCTGGGTTTTTTTAACACAATAAATTCCTCTAAGCTTCTTAGAAAAAATACTACTTAGCTTGACACTTCAGATGGTTGTCAGGCCAGAAGGGAGTTAGTCTGAAATCAATTTGAAAGTCTTTTAGAGGAATAGAACTTGTTAAGTGACCCAGATTGTTTGATGTTCAGACAGATCCTCTGAGCAGCAATCTAATTGCAACAAATCAGTGTGATCCTATTGGAGGAAAGAAGGGGCAGTCTAACAGTACCAAACACACACCTACAAAAGCTAAATGAATTTGGCAGTTCCAAATCAATTAAGACCTTTACATAAATATATTGGCAGTTCTGAAACTCTGACAGATGTGGATTGAGAGGAGTTACTTGGAGAGCAGTTGAAAAAGTTCCTCTCTTTTTAAATGGTTCTCAAAATAGCTTTTTGGTAGGTCTCAATTAAAATATGCATAAACATCTTATTAAATTGTTAGTGAAAGCCAAATGCCTAATTTTGGAAGGTCTGCAGGGATTAAAAAAGGGCAGTAAGTGTGATTAGCATGAAGTAATATATTTAGCTGAGAACTGTTACAGCTAGGTTTTTGATCTGGCCATCTTGCAGAAGTGAACTTGATCTGAACTTAGAGTGAGGGTTGAGTAAAAGACTGGGAGTGTGTTTAAGTAAAGATTAGTACCAGATTCTAACTTTCTGGAGGAGTTAGAATAATGTTTAAACTACTTGTCTTAAGAGCCTGTTAGGTTTAAGTATTTGCTACAAGCTTATGTATTTGTCACTAATCTGAATAAATGACATGGCTGTTTCTAAATATGCTTTTTATCACATCAGGATATCATTCATGATCCTGGCCGAGGTGCTCCCCTTGCCAAGGTTGCATTTCGTGATCCATACAGGTTTAAGAAAAGAACAGAGTTGTTCATTGCAGCTGAGGGTATTCATACTGGCCAATTTGTTTACTGCGGCAAGAAAGGTGAGTTAGGACTGCAGCTAGTCATGTTTAAATGGCCTCCAGAAGCTGGTAGTTTAGACCAGTGGTTCTCAACCAGGGGTACATGTAGCCCAGGGGGTATGCAGAGGTCGTCCAAGGGGTACATCGATACTCATTTAGATATTTGCCTATTTTACAACAGACTACGTAAAAAGCATTAGTGAAGTCAGTACAGACTAAAATTTCATATAGACAATGATTTTTTTATACTGCTCTATATGCTACACACTGTAATATAAGTACAAAATTTATATTCCAATTGGTGTTTCATAATATGGTAAAAATGAGAAAGTAAGCAATTTTTCAGTAAGTGTGCTGTGATACTTCTATTTTTATGCCTGATTGTGTTAAGTGAGTAGTTCAAGTGAGGTGTAACTTGCGGGTACGCAAGACAAATCAGACTCCTGAATAGCGTAGAGTCATCTGGAAAGGTTTAGAACCACTGGCTTAGACTCATATGATGGAATCTGACCTGCATGTTTGTCTTCCTGAGAACTTTACTGCATGACCTTATGAGCCCTAAGATTTCTAAAAGTAATGTTTAATGCACTGGCCTTCACTAGCTGTTTGGAAAGTACTATGTTTTTATATGGAGCTGGAAACATTTCACCATCCAACAAATTCTGCAACTAATTACAACATTTATAAGCTAACAAGGTGCCTTTTTTTTGTCCAGGCCTCTGACAAACTATTCCTTAGAATCCCTTACATTTGACTGACTGATTACCCTAAAGTCACTGTTATTGAAGGAAGGGGGGAGGGAAAGTGTACCCAGATAGCATCATGTTGGTAACCCTATAAATACATCTAGTGATACGTAATAGTTTAATACCTTATTTCTGGTTTGAGTCTGTATATTGTACCTGAAGATATCTATACATATTTCTGGATTTTTCAAGATTACAGTTAAGCTTCAAAAAGTCCCTCTGGGGAACCTGGCATTGGCCACTGTCAAAAGACGGGATATTGGGCTTGATGGACCTTTGGTTTGACCCAGTATGGCCGCTCTTATGATGTGCATCTACAGATAACTAAATGGGTCTATTTTTTCAGCTCAGCTTAACATCGGAAATGTCCTACCGGTTGGCACTATGCCAGAAGGCACCATTGTCTGTTGCCTTGAAGAAAAGCCTGGTGACCGTGGTAAATTGGCCCGTGCTTCTGGAAACTATGCCACAGTTATCTCCCACAATCCTGAAACTAAGAAAACCCGAGTGAAGCTGCCTTCTGGTTCCAAGAAGGTGATCTCTTCTGCAAACAGAGCTGTTGTTGGTAAGTCACAAGTGACAGTGGTCAGTTTATGTATTGTATCTTAATGGTGTCCAAACTGTAGTGAAAGGGGTGGTAGTAAATAGGCTCACTGCTTAATACCTCAAACACGGGTGATCTAGGTTGGGGTGTGTGTTGCATCTTTGAAAGCTAACTATACACACGTGGACCCAAAATAACCTACATGTTATATAGGTGTACATGTGAATAAATAGTTTGTACATGGGAGTTTAATGTACTGCTTTAATGTGGGTCTTACTGCACAAGTTGTGTTATCATAAAGCCTAGAATCTTTACTATGCTAGGCATTATACAAAGAACAGAAGACATTCTCAGCCCCCAAATAACTTAACACATTAGCCTATATACTTTATCATTAAGAGTTATTAGGAAGTGATTGTGTTGGATTTAAGAAGTTCTAATGGTGTGTAGGCTTGGAAATAGAGTTCAAAAGTAGACTGTGATAAACTCCAGTTCCAGAGAGGTATCATAATAGACGTGTGCAGAGAGCTGATCAGTTTATGAAAGCATGCAGTTCTGCTACCCTTGCTTGGAAGACTTGCAAGGAAAACCTTCAGTTCTGTAGGAAACAGTATTGGTGTTCCAAGAGGTGGCAGGCTTCCTTTCGAGTGAGTCTAAGGCTAAAGCCAAAGCCCCATCAGGCTGTTGCAGGTGCTCTGTATTAGATGAGACATACAGCAGACCCTAAAAGCTGAGTTACACTGTTTCTCAACCTGGGGGTCATGGGATGGGTTTAGTGGTGGCAAGCAGGGCAATTGCCTGGGGCCCAGCAAAGCTAAGTTCCCTGCTTTAGCCCTGGGTGGCAGAGCTCAGGCTTCAGCTTAGTGAAGGCAGTTACCAGTACAAGAACGTTGAGAAACGGAGTACTACTTGCTTTTTTGAAATGGCGTGAGGACACAGTGTTACTTACCCTAAACTATTATAGCAGGTGCGTGGGCGGGAAGCTAGCAGGGAATTGTTTTAAAAACTGGACATCTTTCATTGTAAACAATCCATTTCACCAGTAGCTAGTTTTTGGACTTCAGTAGCAAACTCATTACTTCCCTGTACATTTCTTCTCTGCCACAGCTGGGTAGGGTTGCTAATTTTCTTTGGACATAGGCCTGGAGGCTTCGTCAGATAACAATCTCTAATTTCTAGAGACTCCAGGAGAATCCTGGAATGTCAGTAACCCTACATCCAGGGGCACAGGGAGGTTTGACAACTTCTGCATTTAACACACACACTGGTGGAACAGAAGAAGGGCAGGGGAAGCAATATAAAAAGACTGAATATGCAAATTACACAGGCTGCAGTAATTTTCATAGTTAGTTCATTACATATCTTAAGCTGTTATTAGCAGTGTGCCAAGTCAGTTATGACCAGTGTGTTGAAGGTAAAACCCAGTAGGCGTTAACTGTTTCTCCTGATCTTTCAGTGATGATTTGTTCTGACTGAAAGGTTGTCACATCTCATTACTCCAGGCAGCTGTGTTGGCATTGTACAAGCAATTCTGGGAAGTATGACCAATGATCATTATTCAGGACCATCTTTTGTGATCTAGTCTTACTATTAAAAGGAGAAAAGTTAACTAAATAGAGATTAAAATTAAGAACTCTTCCTTTGCAGCCCACCTTCAATGCATAGAGATACTAGAACACCTGTTTGCAAGAATGTAGTTTCACAGTATCTAACCTTCATGAAGCAATTCATACTCTTGTCCTGGGTGTGAAATGTTTGTGTGGACAGTTGCACATTTGTGACTCACTTTCACAGATTAGCTAGCTAGACAAGATTTCTAAAACAGTTTTAAAATCGCAAAATAGCAGTCCATTTTTTCCTTAGTGTGAATTGGTACTTCCCCTTAAATATCCCATCACTAACAAAGCCATTTGCTAATCATTTTAGCCACAGACTTCACTGCATGAGTTAAAGCTTTCAAAATATAAAGTGATGACCATAACATCTTAACTCGCAACTAATTAATTTGTATTTTTAAAATTAATTTCAGGCATTGTTGCTGGTGGAGGTCGTATTGACAAGCCTATCCTAAAGGCAGGTCGTGCCTATCACAAATACAAGGCAAAGCGAAACTGCTGGCCACGTGTCCGTGGTGTGGCTATGAATGTAAGTGTCTCAGCTTTCAAATGTCTGTCCTTCTATAGTTCACGTAAGGGCTTAACAATTGTCATTCAAGATTCAGTGGTGCCTTTGGCAAGAGCTATTGAGTGTAGGCGATATAAACTGCCTAGAAAGTGCATATAGTATTGCTCTACAGTTGCAAACATCTGCTGTAGAGCATGCATGGTAGGTAAAATTATTCCTTGATATAAAGTAAGGAGAGAAAAGGTATAAAATAAGTTCTAGGGCACACTTACCTTGGTTTGAGTGTTAAGTTTAATGTATTTAACTCGAAACATCCCTTTGTCTACATTTTTGACCTTGTTGACTTTCTTTATAGCCTGTAGAACATCCCTTTGGTGGTGGTAACCATCAACATATTGGTAAGCCTTCAACCATCAGGAGAGATGCTCCCGCTGGTCGCAAGGTCGGTCTCATTGCTGCCCGTCGTACTGGTAGACTGCGTGGAACCAAGACTGTGCAGGAGAAGGAGAACTAATGTCTTTCAATACAGTTTACACAATAAAAGACTTTAAAAACCCCCATATCTGTCTTGTGTAAACCTTATGAAGGAATGATATCAGCTTCTCGGGACTCTTCTATTAGTGAGGAGACTTTTGTAGGGTGAGGGTGGATTGTGGAACTCTTGCTTTCACTGAAGGGATAAATGGGACTTTAGTCGCAATCAAATAGCCTGGTACTAGGAATAGATTTTAGAAACCGTTCAGATCAGATTCGCTATGGGATGAGGATAAGATTGAAGCTATCACCTAGTGTTAAGGGGGGGGCTAAGAACTTGGTCACCCACCTCTCCTCTTCCCTGGAAAGGAATGGGTGGCCTCTACCCATGCCTTCCTCAAGTGTGGATTAATAGGTGATGGTTCTCTTTCACATATGCACTCAGTTTTCTGTGGAGGAGAATCTCCTTCAGGCACTAACTGAGAAGTGTGTTCAAGGATGGCTTATGCACTAGACCATTTGAAATAAACTTTGTGGAAGGGGAAGGTCAGGAAAGTCTATTTTGAAATATTACCACTGGCTTATAAAAACATCTGCCCTATCTAGCCTTAACAAAACTGAAAGTTATGGCTGCTGTTCTATTTGGTGCTAGTACAGAGTGAGCAAGCTGCAATAATAAAGCCTTTTGGTGGGGAAAGCTTAGTGACCAGCAAGTACTACCCCATGATTGTCTGTTAGTATGCTAACTCCACACAAGGGAGTACCTGCTCGTCAAGCTACACCAGAGCCTCCCTTATACCATCAGCATTATGCATCAACATTACAATTTTTTGGAAAGGCAGCCACGAAGCTGTTCTGCCTGAGAATACCTCACACTTCCCTCATGCCTCCCTGTAAAGAAAAAGGCAGATCTTTGGGTGGGTAGGACAAAGGCAAGAAGATGATTGATCTCAGTGAACATATAAGCTGTTGCATGAATCATGCACATGCTGTTGTGCTGGAAAAAAATTTCAGCTTCTTGTGAACAAGTCCTGTTTGGAAATCACCTATACCTTCTAACATTAGCCAAGGGGCTGCTGAAAGTAGTATCCTGCATGAAGGACCTTTGCTAGGCACTACATGAATCCACATCTCTTCCATCAAGCAAGTGTGGGGGGTGAAGAACTGAAGGAGTGCTCCGTGTCAACTTAGGGTATGTGTCCACTACAAAATTAGTCAAATTTATAGAAGTCGTTTTTTTAGAAATTGGTTTTATATATTCGACTGTGTGTGTCCCCACAGAAAATGCTCTAAGTGCATTAACTCAGTGGAGTGCTTCCACAGTACCGAGGCTAGTCGACTTCTAGAGTGTTGCACTGTGGGTAGCTATCCCACAGTTCCCGCAGTCTCTGCTGCCCATTGGAATTCTGGGTTGAGGTCCCAATGCCTGATGGGGCTAAAACATTGTCACAGGTGGTTCTGGGTACATATCCATCAGGCCCCCATTCCCTCCCTCCGTGAAAGCAAGGGCAGATAATCATTTTGTGCCTTTTTTCCTGAGTTACCTGTGCAGACGCCATACCATGGCAACCGTCACCGTATGTCTTCTGGGCGCTGGCAGATGAGGTATGGCATTGCTACACAGTAGCAGCAACCCATTGCCTTCTGGCAGCAGACGGTGCAATACGACTGGTAGCCGTCCTTGTCGTGTCTGAGGTGCTCCTGGCCACATCAGCTGGGAGCGCCTGGGCAGACATGGGCGCAGGGACTAAATTTGAAGTGACTTGACCAGGTCATTCTCTTTAGTCCTGCAGTCAGTCCTATTGAACCGTCTTATGGTGAGCAGGCAGGCGATAAGGATTGCTAGCAGTCCTGCTGTACCATCTTCTGCCAGGCAGGCAAGAGATGAGGATGGCTAGCAGTCCTACTGCACCGTCTTCTGCCGAGCAGTCATGAGATGTGGATGGCTTGCAGTCCTTCTGCACCGTCTGCTGTCAGCCAAAGATGTAAAAGATAGATGGAGTGGATCAAAACAAGAAATAAACCAGATTTGTTTTGTACTCATTTGCTTTCCCCCCTCCCCCATCTAGGGGACTCATTTCTCTAGGTCACACTGCAGTCACTCACAGAGAAGGTGCAGCAACGTAAATCTAGCCATGTATCAATCAGAGGCCAGACTAACCACCTTGTTCTAATAAGAACAATTACTTAGGTGCACCATGTCTTATTGGAACCCTCTGTGAAGTCCTGCCTGAAATACTCATTGATGTAAAGCCACCCTCTTTGTTGATTTTAATTCCCTGTAAACCAACCCTGTAAGCCATGTCATCAGTCGCCCCTCCCTCCGTCAGAGCAATGGCAGACAATCATTCCGCGCCTTTTTTCTGTGCAGACGCCATACCAAGGCAAGCATGGAGGCCGCTCAGCTCACTTTGGCAATTAGGAGCACATTAAACACCACACGCATTATCCAGCAGTATATGCAGCAACAGAACCTGGCAGAGCAATAGCAGGCGAGGAAGCGACATCAGCACAGTCACTTGAGTGATCAGGACATGGACACATATCTCTGAAAGCATGGGCCCTGCCAATGCATGCATTGTGGTGCTAATGGGGCAGGTTCATGCTGTGGAACGCCAATTCTGGGCTTGGGAAACAAGCACAGACTGGTGGGACCGCATAGTGTTGCGGGTCTGGGATGATTCCCAGTGGCTGCAAAACTTTCGCATGCGTACAGGCACTTTCATGGAACTTTCTGACTTGCTTTCCCCTGCCCTGAAGCGCATGAACACCAAGATGAGAGCAGCCCTCACAGTTGAGAAGCAAGTGGCGATAGCCCTGTGGAAGCTTGCAACGCCAGACAGCTACCGGTCAGTTGGGAATCAATTTGGAGTGGGCAAATCTACTGTGGGGGCTGCTGTGATGCAAGTAGCCCACGCAATCAAAGATCTGCTGATATCAAGGGTAGTGACCCTGGGAAATGTGCAGGTCATAGTGGATGGCTTTGCTGCAATGGGATTCCCTAACTGTGGTGGGGCCATAGACAGAACCCGTATCCCTATCTTGGCACCGGAGCACCAAGCCGGCGAGTACATAAACCGCAAGGGGTACTTTTCGATAGTGCTGCAAGCTCTGGTGGATCACAAGGGATGCTTCACCAACATCAACATGAGATGGCTGAGAAAGGTATATGACGCTCGCATCTTCAGGAACTCTGGTCTGTTTCAAAAGCTGCAGGAAGGGACTTTATTCCCAGACCAGAAAATAACTGTTGGGGACGTTGAAATGCCTAAAGTTATCCTTGGGGACCCAGCCTACCCCTTAATGCCATGGCTCATGAAGCCGTACACAGGCAGCCTGGACAGTAGTCAGGAGCTGTTCAACTACCGGCTGAGCAAGTGCAGAATGGTGGAAGAATGTGCATTTGGACATTTAAAGGCACGCTGGCGCAGTTTACTGACTCGCTTAGACCTCAGCGAAACCAATATTCCCACTGTTATTACTGCTTGCTGTGTGCTCCACAATATCTGGGAGAGTAAGGGGGAGACATTTATGGTGGGGTGGGAGATTGAGGCAAATTGCCTGGCTGCTGGTTATGCACAGCCAGACACCAGGGCAGTTAGAAGAGCACAGGAGGGCGCGGTGCGCATCAGAGAAGCTTTGAAAACCAGTTTCATGACTGGCCAGGCTACGGTGTGAAAGTTCTGTTTGTTTCTCCTTGATGAAACCCCCCGCCCCTTGGTTCACTCTACTTTCCTGTAAGCTAACCCCCCTCCCCTCCTCCCTTTGATCACTGCTTGCAGAGGCAGTAAAGTCATTGGTGCTTCACATTCATGCATTCTTTATTCATTCATCACACAAATAGGGGGATGACTACCAAGGTAGCCCAGGAGGGGTGGTGGAGGAGGGAAGAAAAATGCCACACAACACTTTAAAAGTTTACAACTTTAAAATTTATTGAATGCCAGCCTTCTGTTTTTTGGGCAATCCTCTGTGGTGGAGTGGCTGGTTGGCCGGAGACCCCCCCACCGCGTTCTTGGGCGTCTGGGTGTGGAGGCTATGGAACTTGGGGAGGAGGGTGGTTGGTTATACAGGGGCTGTAGTGGCAGTCTATGCTCCAGCTGCCTTTGCTGCAGCTCAACCATCCACTGGAGCATACAGGTTTGATCCTCCAGCAGCCTCAGCATTGAATCCTGCCTCCTCTCATCACGCTGCCGCCACATTTGAGCTTCAGCCCTGTCTTCAGCCCACCACTTACTCTCTTCAGCCCGCCACCTCTCCTCCCGGTCATTTTGTGCTTTCCTGCACTCTGACATTTGCCTCCACGCATTCGTCTGTGCTCTGTCAGTGTGGGAGGACAGCATGAGCTCAGAGAACATTTCATCACGAGTGTGTTTTTTTTTCTTTCTAAGCTTCACTAGCCTCTGGGAAGGAGAAGATCCTGTGATCATTGAAACACATGCAGCTGGTGGAGAAAAAAAAGGGACAGCGGTATTTAAAAAGACACATTTTATAAAACAGTGGCTACACTTTTTCAGGGTAAACCTTGCTGTTAACATTACATACATAGCACATGTGCTTTCGTTCCAAGGTCGCATTTTGCCTCCCCCCACCGCGTAGCCACCCCCTCAACCCTCCCCGTGGCTAACAGCGGGGAACATTTCTGTTCAGCCGCAGGCAAACAGCCCAGCAGGAACGGGCACCTTTGAGTGTCCCCTGAAGAAAAGCACCCTATTTCAAGCAGGTGACCATGAATGATATCTCACTCTCCTGAGGATAACACAGAGAGATAAAGAACGGATGTTGTTTGAACGCCAGCAAACATACACTGCAATGCTTTGTTATACAATGATTCCCGAGTACGTGTTACTGGCCTGGAGTGGTAAAGTGTCCTACCATGGAGGACGCAATAAGGCTGCCCTCCCCAGAAACCTTTTGCAAAGGCTTTGGGAGTATATCCAGGAGAGCCACAAATGCCGGGCAAATTAATCCTTTCACATGATTGCTTTTAAACCATGTATAGTATTTTAAAAGGTACACTCACCGGAAGTCCCTTCTCCGCCTGCCGGGTCCAGGAGGCAGCCTTGGGTGGGTTCGGGGGGTACTG